CTCTATTTAACACTGTGTGCCACACCCAGGCAGTATATTTAACACTGTGTGCCACACCCAGGCAGTATATTAAACACTGTGTGCCACACCCAGGCAGTATATTTAACAGTGTGCCACACCCACTAAGTAGATTGAACACTGTACCACACCCATGCATTATATTTAACACTGAGTGCCGCACCCACTCAGTAGATTGAACAATGTGCCACAATCATGTAGTCTAACACTGTTTGCCACACCCATGCAGTATAATTAACACTGTGTGCCACACCCACTCAGTACATTAAACAGTATATGCCACACCCACTCAGTAGATTGGACACTGTGTCACAATCATACAGTATACTGTGTAGGCTGAACAGTGTACCTTATCCCCTCAGTACATTGAGCAGTGTGCCACACCCCCTCAGTACATTGAACAGTGTGCCACACCCACAAAGTATATTGAAGTGAGCCACACCTCCTCAGTACATTGAATAATGTGCCACACCCACTGAGTAGATTGAAGTGTGCCACACCCACTCAGTAGATTGAACACTGTGTATCACACCTATTCAGTAGATTGAACACTGTGTCACACACACTCGGTAGATTGAACACTGTGTCACACCCACTCAGTAGATTGAACACAGTATCACACCCACTCAGTAGATTGAACACTGTGCCACACCCACTCAGTAGACTGAACACTGTGCTACACCCACTTAGTAGATTGAACACTGTGTATCACACCCACTCAGTAGATTGAACACTGTGGTACACCCACTCAGTAGATTAAACACTGTGTGTCACACCATTTCAGTAGATTGAACACTGTGCTACACCCACTTAGTAGATTGAACACTGTGGTACACCCACTCAGTAAATTGAACACTGTGGTACATCCACTCAGTAGATTAAACACTGTGCATCACACCCACTCAATAGATTGAACACTATGTGTCACAGCCACTCAATAGATTAAACACTGTGTGCCACTCAGTCAGTAGATTGAACACTGTGTCACATGCACTCAGTAGATTAAACAGTGTGTGCCACACCCAGTCAGTAGATTAAACACTGTGTGTCACACCCATTCAGTAGATTGAAAACTGTATGTCATAGTACTTAGTAGATTGAATACAGTTTGCCACACCCACTCTGTCAACTGCCCTTAAATACAAACTTACTTGTTTCACAGTGAAAGTTCTAAGAGAGTACTCTGGAAAGGCTTTGGTCTTCTCAAGTGTAACAGACACAGAACCATATTTCATAGACCCTTTCTCTGGCCAGTACTGGACACATTTGATCTAAGCAGAAAACACACAAATACCATCAGTGTCATTAACAATTAACATACAGGACTATAGCACTAGTCTGCTGAAAGCAATTTCAAACAAAGGTGAATCAGGAAAATATTAATGCTAAATCATGAAAGCATGGAAATATATTACAAAGTGAGGTAAAGTTAGGTTCTGTATTATGTAGGAAAAATATTACATACCTTTCCTGATTCTGCTAGATTGGTAGCCATTAGAATAGTGGTAACATTCTCCTGCACAATCATTCTCCAAAAATCAACAACAGTCAATCCATTTGGACCTAGAGTATATAAGAGATAGTTAACACTGTACATGTAACTATTGATTAATCTAGAGCTGAGCAATAAATCTCTGTAAGTAGTACATTTATAGACGTGAATCTTAACATACCTTGGGTAGCTATGAATGCTTTATGCTTCTGGTAGCCCTGTGAAGATAATTTACATGTTTGTTTGTTTTTTATTGTCTAGCAAAGAGTTTTAGTGCATGATGAATGAATGTGGTCTCTCCTGTTTTATGTAAGATAGAAGCAGTTGTATAGAGAAGGATTGGTAAAGTAACAAAACAGTACTCACATCAATATAGTTGGCATTGATATAATCTGAATTGGGATCATCATTAATCACATCCAATACCACTCTAGAATGGTCATCTATTTTCAAAAAAAACTGATATATTACCAGACTGAACAAATCAATGTTATGATTAACAGGTAGCAGTGTATAAATTTAAATAGAATTTCTTTTCTGAAATTTTTACTTGGAAATCTGAAGATTAAAGTTCTGTCTACCCAGTTAATTGTAATACATGTACATGTCTTTTATCACATGATTTTGATTCCAAGGCAGATGTTGTTGCCAATAATAAACTTAGTTGTATTTTCTATTGCTTGTCAGTTTGCCAAACATGTTTCATTGTAGATAATGATAAAATTTGTAGAGAATTTTTTTTACAAAAATCACAAGCATTGACAATGCACAGTCCTCATTTCATATTATTGATAGTTTCTTCCAATTTTCAGTATTGATATACATCGACCAATGCTCCATGCATTATCTGTATGTCAGTTTCAATGCAGCATGACTGGAAGTGCATAGACTGACAAAATGTGTTAATTATAATCATACAAAACATAATAAAAAAACCGAATGATTACAGGTGGCTATATTTTTCTCCAAAAATGTATAGCCATTTTGTCTAAAATCTTAAAATCAAAGTCTGTAAATGTGTCTGGAAATATTTCTCACAGATAACCAGGGTTTTGTATCAATTTGACAAACTCGATCAAATCACAAAATAATAAAACCAATCAGTATTACCTATGATTATAGTACATTGCCTTTATGTCAATAAAACTATGGAAATACATACTGTATATCATGCATTTTGGCACATGTATTTGATACGAATTATCACAAATCTGCATAATGACTCACATGATAGAACATTGCGGAATCTGTTCTTCTGTTTATTGTCTGGATTCTTGGCAGCTTCATGGGGTATTGTACCTGTACTCTGTGGTAATAGCTGAAAAAACAAATACATCATATAATATATCAACACTGACTGTACAAGTCTGCAGGGACATAGTTAAACGGTTTAGTTAAATACCTTACATAACTCAATGTTTATATAAAAACACAGCAAACTCAATATAAATCACTGTTTCTGTCATTAACTTTAGTGTCTTTGACATTTTGAAACCATAAGAAGTTACTGAGGCACCCCTTAAAGTAAAAAGTTTACACAATAATTGGATCCGAAAAAAAACATGCTAGGTAGCCAATCTTCTTGAAAAAAAAACATAGTGTAACTATTACAACCTTTCTCTCTGAGAAACGAGATTAAATAACAAATGAATGGATGGAAGGTACAAACTAATGTTGCATGATCTTTTCTTTGCATGGCAAAATTGATTATAAACATATGAAACAATGCAATAATATATCTACCGTATAATCTTTTGAATAGACAGTCACTCTAATTTAGGCGCCAGGGAAGAGAGAAAGGCCTTAATTTGGTTTTAAAATAGGCGTCATGAAATGTTGAAAAATTACAGTCAATCAAAAAAACTGTTCACATGATAAAAAAAAAATACAGTATATTTAATGTAATATGCATTTACCTAGTATTCTTTAATTTTTGTGGTAACAGAAGTACATTTTAAAAGAAGTAAAAATAAACACAAATGCATTGCTAGCAGCAAGTCATCATGGTACTGTAATGCAATACGGTCATGCTACATTTCACAAGTGAATAATCTACTTGTTTTCGAAGTGTTGCATTTATTGATCATTACTCAGTAGTAATTGTAATAATGTACAAAAAATATATTTGTTGAAGTGTTACAGGCCGGGAGCCAGCACTTTTGAATACGGGGTTCGAAAACAAAAATAATATATTTGACGTGAAACGTGTGAATTTTATAATATTAAAAAAGTGTCTTTGAGCTCTGTTACAGACATTTTTATATTCTCGGTTTTAAATTCAATTGGTTTACTTTGTGTTACGTTGGTAAGTTATTTCACATAACATCATTGAACTATTTTACAATATGATTTTAGAGAAGGGGTCCTGAGCCATTCCCCACCCACAGACAAATGCACACACACCCTAGATCCACTACGGCAAAATTTTGTACACAAAAAAGACAAGACTATATATACGTGTCTTAGCATTATTGTCTAAGCATTTTAAGGTGGAATGCTACTCACGAGTTTTTTCGCTCTTTGTAGATGTTAACGCACATAAAAGTGATACGAATTCATGTCAAAATCTGTCTACAATTATTCATTTTAGTATTAGTCAATTTTGTATTATGTAATTTTATTTCTGTACAGGATTCAGCCCATCGTACAAAATGTAATGGGTAGAAAAGTGCATAGCACGTTTTAAAAACAATACAACATCCATGTAAACATATGGTACTAAGTTAAGCTGGATTAATATTCATCTCGTCGCTCGAAAACTTTTAAAAGATACAGAACTAGTTGATAAATGGTGTGGCAGTTTGTGTAGCGACAAAGTAAGCCCAGACTATCAGTATTTGCAAAATTGCATATTGCATTATTTGACAAAAAGAAGTGAATTTCATTTTCTACCATGCTAAATTCAAGCATTTCACTGCAAAAACTAAAAAAAATATTGATCTAACTGTATTTTTGTGTGTCTGCCTAATTCAACATTGTTTATGGCCAAAACAGCGAAAACTCGTCCGTATATATTTTAGTCTATAATTGCTTGCCAATAAATCTCCCAGGTTTTAATACTACTTTGATTTTTCTGAAAGTGCACAGCCTAGATGATTGTGAAATTGAGGCATGCCATTCTTGCTGACAAATTGTTTTTATTCTTTAAGTAAATATCTCTAAGAAATTTGCAGTATCTCCAACTTGTTTTTCAAACCAGACAATGCCGAAACCATATTTGAACAGGCGATTTTTATGTGGGTATCCCAAGTAAGTCTGCCGGTTTAGTCTAATCGTTTAAGCATGATATAACATGTTTTGTGGTTCCAGCTATTTTTTACTTCAACTAATTTTAACCAATACGAGATACAATGCTTAAAATAACTACAGCATAATGACAGCCTTCCACATTCATCCAACATCGCTACACTGTTAGTACAACTATTCACGCTAAGTAGATATCTGTCTGTACCCTCTCGATTTCCGAATTTTTGTGTCCCCATATCGCTACCATAAGAAATAGCTCGCACAATGATTGCATCAAACAAATTAAATGCACTAACCAATGGCATACCATATATGTTTCTTACAGTATGTAAATGTTTTGGTTCATTGTAAATCTGTTTTTAGAGGGCGGTAAAATAATATACATATAGTGGCAGTTTAGCAGCGGTCTCAATAGACTTCAATGACTACATCTCCTTTTTATGAACCCACTAAAAATATAGTAAATTTTCTAAGACATCAAAACAAAAAACGTGTAAAAAAATATGTTTAAAAAATATGATTCGTCGCATAGTTACAGTGCTGAAGCAACACTGTGGGGTAAATTGTTGGCTGCAAGAAGCTCTTCGACCTATAAATAATATATGTGATAAATCTTCGGCATTTTTTTAATGATCTGTTGAATCCGTAGCTATACACTATCGTTCAATAACACAGTCTACACGTACTAATACAATAAGTTGACTACATTTAGCAGATACACTTGCAACAAAACAGTATATACATGTATGCCTTCATTTAAGAATACAAAACTAATAAACCAAACTAGGAAAGTACAGTGTCGTTTTGTGTCAATCCTGTTCGATCCCCACCGTGACACTTTACTAACTGAGCAAACACTTGCACAAGACAAACGACCCTATTCCGGACCACCACATCATTCAGAGAGTGACTACCATTACATTATTGTTTCAATGTTGTTTTAATATTTAACATCAGCTGCTGAATCTGATAGTTACCACAATGAGTCAAGTGATTTAAATGAGGATAATTATTTTAATTAATACTGTTTGTTTATTATGTTCTAATCTACGATAATAAATCTATTCACTTCAAAAATTTAGGGGGTTCGGCCGAACCCCCCGAACCTCCCCAAACTACGGGCCTGTGTTATTAAATGCAAGTAAAATTCAACGTAAGCATATGATTACGCGTACAGCCACATATGTAAATGCTCAATGCGATATGATATCCACCATGTTTTTTCCATACACGAGTTGACCTGAAATTGTGTTCTTTGACCTGATAGGTCAAGTCGATAATTAACCAATTAAATGCTGGATGGTGCCATTGTGTTTGAATTACCATAGCTCATTTAAATATGTTAATGACAGTTCAGCAACTTCATGGTGAATGCAACACTGAAGAGATTTACCAAAGTTGTAGTGGGATCTTTTGACTTTGGTTTTAATGGCAAAATGGCTTAATTTTTTTTTAATCAAGAAATTGGTTGTTTTTGGAATATAAACTGACTACTGAAGAGGAATTTTACTCCTTTTTATGGTGATAACAGCTCACTGTCGAAACGCAGTTTACCCATTCACGCTAACCTTAATTAGATTCTAATCTGGGTTTCAGGAAAGATTGAAATGTTCAAAGAATGATGCCTATTCAAGAGATTATACGATAAACATTTTGCACAAAAAGTACTGGATAAAAATTAGCAAATACAATGTCATATATAAGGAATTAATACTCAATTAATATTACATGTAGTGTATTAATCTCAATGTTTCTTATATAATAATATAGCATGAATTGTATAAAAGAAAATACTAGCCAAATTATTAATTGAGCAAGGATTTTTTTAATCAAGAGAACAGGGACGCATCGCCCTCATGCCATGGCCATGCTCCCCTTACCCCGGGAGCAGATCCTCTGGCAACCATAAAATTCTGATTGACCAGGGATCACATGTGGCCATAGTCTTCAACTGTGAACTGTCTAATAGTAATTTTGGCCTCAAAAAAGCCATAGAATGCTCCATTTTAACTTAGAATTATCAAAAACTCCACACCATGGTAGGGAGAACCCTATCTCTCCCACTTGGTGGTGCTGCTGAATTGGAGTGCTCCCTCTAGCAGTTTTTTTCTAGAAAAACCCCTGATTGAGTATTAATTCCTTATATTTCTTTACGATAGAACAGTTTTGCTGAACACACTGCTATCCTCAAAATGGCCTGTTGAACACAGATACAAAAATGGGGATTATGTACTACCTTGTATTCCTCAACAAACTTGTTTTCTTTCCTCTTCTTGATAATATAATCTGCCAAGTCATCAATTTTAATTACGTGTTGTGAGTTAAGTCTTGATTTAATTATTGGCTTTGGTGGAATACTCTTCACAGGTACAAATTTAGCAAGAGGGACCACTGCTGGCTTTGGAGGCTTTGAAGGCTTCACTGATCTTTCTGGTTTCATGTACTGAAGTTCACCAGTGTCACCATCTTTGATAGGATTAATGACAACTATAGGGTACAAAACAGAGAAAAGTACAGTCAGAGTAACAATGTTACTACTGTAGAAAAAGAAATATTCACTGGCTTTGATTTTTACATAATAGTAATAGTAGATTTGACATTGATTTGTGAAGGAATATATACAACCTATTCTCAACTTTAAATATTCATTTGACTTTGAATTTATCACATTTTATCTGTCAGAGAAATATTAAAGTGAAAATAAAGATATAATATATAAGCCAGCAAATACTAGTACTTAACCTGTACCAAATAACATACTGCTCTTATATGCAATGTGGTGTACGATTACATGTACATGTAGTTTCCATGGCAAAATATCCGAAACCACACACCAATAGTATACAATGTTTAGCTAAATAAGAGTACTGACCAAATATTTTTTTTTCTTAAAATCAAATCTCTCTGAACATTCACAGGAAAAAATTTTGCTGTCAATAAATGCAATTTTGATAAGCACAGTTCTGATAATTATGTGATTACTTCTAGTGAACTTTGATGAGCCCTGCATCTTAAAATTTATGTAGCTGTAAATAGTGCTTTGATTAGAATATTTTGTTTGCTGTAAATAAACATGTAAATGTAGGTCACTGAATGAGCAAGGATTTTCAAAAAAAGAATGGTAGGGGTATTTATTTGCCTACCAAATAACATACATGTATTTAAGACTTGAATTTCAGAGGGCACCCAATTTCAAAGCCAAATTTAAAAGGAGTTAACTGATTCAGGCTGAAGTGCTACTTTTACTGTAATAGCATAATATTATAGATAATCAAACATTACATCACAGACTGTGTTTGTATGTAGTCTCAAGAAAACTCCAATCTACACAGTAACACTGACAACTTAATATAGTTTAAAACGGCCTTATTCAATGGGGCTTCACTAAATTGTGGATCAATCACAGGGAGTTGGACAAACTTATGTATTTTAATTTATTAAATTTATTTAATTTATTAAAATACATATTAAGTTTGTCCAACTCCCTGTGGATCAATAATGCTTTCTACATGTATAAACAAAAATTTCCTAATTAAATATAAAACCAAGACTATTTTCTCTCTGTGACAAAATTATGCTAGGTAATATTTGATATAAATATGCACTTGCCATTCTGTTGAGATGATTCCTTCCATTTAGCACCATCTACGTAAGCTCTCCTTGACTCATCCACATTTGCATAAGCATTCTCATCATGAGTAGACTGCATTTGCGCCTCTTCATATTTTTTGCCAGTCTTTGCATTTTGTTGTCGCCTGTTGTACGAATGTAATGAATATTTAAAGTCAACAAAAATGTTAAGAAAGTCTTGAATAGAATTGCACTAACTTAGAAAATGATGTTAGTAAATCATGAATACTAATCTTTTATCACCAGTTCCCCCTTTTCATCACAAATTCACAAAATAGTCCTGTTAATAAAGCCTACACTTTCCTTCAGAAAATTTGGGCAAAAATTGAGTTAAAAATGAGAATTGACTCAAATTTTGTCTGTTGGCTCCAAAATTAGGCTTTATTTCCAAAAATGTTGAAGAATACAAGAAAAAAGTGCAGAAAAATTGGAGCAAGGAAGTCTGGTGATGAAAAGGTAAAAGCTGTTACAATAATGCAGTATATCATTCTGTAATTATTTTTAGTTAGATAAGAATGCAATATCGTAAATTGCTATATCTGGTATTTTAGATACTGATATTATTATCAAGGCAAGTGACAAATACTTGTATATATTCCGTATGTACATCATATCAATGACATTTCCTTTCACAATATTTATACTAAATTTATTTTCATTAGGACATGGTAAACAAAATGTAATAAACAGTGTATGATTTTGCAACAACATGTAACCCACAATGTATGACTAGCACACATACATGTATAAGCAAAATAAGTGGGCCAAATATAACATACATGTACATTGTACCATATTGAAAATTATCTTGTATTTTATTGTCCTTGTTATGTATAATCAATTGAATTTATTCTGAGAAATTTTATGTGTTTCAATAAACAAATTTAATCTACATTAACCTTGAACTAAATAAGTTTAATAGTGTATGTCTTATAAAAGACTGTATGGGCACCATAACTCAGCCATTTTGATTTAACCAACTTTGACTTGAATAAACTAGCATGCACAATAATAGTAATATGTCTTTGGATAGGATAGATGAATTCATGCTTGTATAAACATGAATAAAGTGATGATTTATCAATTACTGGATTGTTCAACAGCTAGAAAATGTGAGCTGGACATGGGATAGGTTAGTTTTACGTACCATACTGATTAACTAGTAATTCACAAAATTAACATTCTTTATTATCAAGATGCACCTTTGTATGATTGCTTTGACATGGCATCCAGATGAGAAAAGAAACATGGGCAGGCCTAAAACAACATTGAGAACAGTGGAAAAGGAGAGAAAATTGGGTGGATGGAAAACTTGGAATGAGGTCAGGGGAAGCGCACAAGACAGACAGAACTGGAAGACAAGCGTTATGGCCTTATGTGCCAGAAGGCACGAAGAGGAGATATGAGATGAGATGATTATAAAAATTCAGGTTCATACTAAATATTCACATTAACTAGATTTTAGAAAATAAACAACCTTTGAATGAGATTAAGTACTTACCGCTTTAAAACAAACACTAGAGCTATTACAACTGCAACGATGAGAACAGCTGCAATTACACCACCAATTATGCCACTGGAAGTATCTGTACTGGTTCCAGGATCACTAACTGCTCCAGCTGAATATTAGAATAAAAATGAATAACTTATCATATTTCAAATTAGTGAAGTGTAATAGATTTCAAAGAAAAGTCCAGTTTAAGCTTTATACATTTTTTTTTTCATGATTCAGATTTTTATTATGAATAAATTAAAAATCATTGCAAATTTAAATAATGAAAAAATTAAAAGAAAGCTTACTATAGAGTATTGGAGGCATACTACAAATTAATTCGAAATTGAGCATTAGTCTTTCAAACAAGAAGCTTGTCTGCTATTTGAAATGCACAACATGAAAACAATTTGATCCACATTATTGAAGGACATAATACTTACACAAAATAAATTTTATTTTACATCTGTGGTTCACAGTTTTATTTCATAGTACCGGTACCTCTACTAAAAGTTCAATTTAAATCTGATTTGTTCAGATAGCAAAAATTAGATAATAAATGCATGTTTTTTCAACATTAAACTAATCACATCTGTGGATTACCCTAGAGTATCTATGAACCGAATTTCAATGAAATGTGACAATTATGCATATTATGCAATTATTAGTATGCTCGAATTTCAATCCCAAACTAATCAGGTCTTTGTTCCCAGGCACTTATATACAAAGTCTTATGGAAATGCAATAATTATTTTTTTATTATTATTATCATTAGAATATTTATGTTCTAAGATTCATTGAAATAAGATTAGTGCTTGAGATATTGGTAGAAAAGGTGAAACTGACCAACAATTATGCAATCGGGTAATTAATATGTGCAGATTTTAATGTAAAACTTATCTACACAATTCTCAAGAGCAGCTATGTACCACGTTTCATACATACATACAGACATTCATACATACATATAGACAGGCTAACTGCAAAGGCTCCCGTTGTGTGCTTTGCAAACAGGAGTCAAAACATTTGTTTTATGAGATTTTGTGTACAAAACATCCACACTAGCCTTAAACAAATTTTTATCTTAGTAATATGTGTCTGCTAAGTATTGTTACAGTAGAAAAAAACAATATGAAACTGCACCATTTCGATGACCATATTTTGGTAAAAATATTGAAAACACTGAAAATTTATTGTATAAAACTTAGGCTAAATGTTTGTTATTACTGGGAAATTGATGTATATACATGTAAAAATATATTCTTGATTGCTAATTATTATTATTTTAATAAATATGCAGATAATAATAGTTTTGTTCTTAATAATTTATCACAGAATACAATTGCACTGTATAATAATTTTATGACTGCAACATATACATAATATCCATGATATATTTTAAATTTGTTATACCTGTGAATTCAATTAGTTTCTCTATTATATACTCTTCTTTCTGCAAATAAATCAATATTTTATTTGTGTTACTCAATATAGTACATTACAAAATTGCTACAGTAGTAATTACACCGGGATATGCATGATTAACATGGCAAAAAAATGCTGTGTAATAATGGAATTATTATTACATAACAACAATGCCCATTCAAAGGGTCTAGAGTGCATTTCAGACTAATCTTCACATTGAATATTAATCTTGTGATGTAGTCATGTAGTCTATCTTTTATCGATGAACAGAGAATCCTTCAGTGACTTCTAATACTCAATCAGAGCTGAATCTATATAACTGCTTAGTGATGTTTGGCTATTGACAAGGGGAATATCCCATAGTTGTTGTATTACCATATACTTGACTTGTCAAAGTTTATTGTACTACACATTACATTCCACACCATCAACCACTATAATTTGATCAGGAATAGAAATCGATAAAACAATCATTTTAATTAATTCTCTTGGTTGCACATAGATTATCATCAGATGATAACTATATATAACTCTGGCTATGATTTCTCCCATTTCTGTTCTTATGACATGACACTGAAATAATATGAAATACAATGGCTTGTTCAAAACCAATTAAGCAGGCATACTGCAACTGAATTTGAATTGTGCCATAGATGTTCAAAATCAAGCAGATCATGCAGCTGTGGTAACATGGTCAACACAGCTGTCAAAGATACCCCAACCCCCAAGTAAATGTTATATTTATTAATTACTGTGTATGCATGCTTTGAATAATTATCTTACCCCTGTAGTATATACTGCAAACCCATCATATATGA